ACGACGCTGGCAGCTCCCTCAGAAGGGCCTGGGAGAATGTGGCAGGTGATCCGTGTTAACATGTGTGAGGTAGTGAAACAACCTGTCGGAAGCACCCTATAAACATCAACTCTGACAATTATTACTTGCTTATGGCTCGTACTAGCTGAAGCTTATTTTTCAGTGCCAACCACCACTTACCAAGTGCCATAAAAACGCCTGTGGCTTGGTCTAGAGAATGCCTCTGAGGAAGGATGGGAATGGGGGGAGCCCAGTGTGCCTGGGCGTCCTCTCCACCTCGCCCACCTGGCCTGGTGCCCCTCCCCAGGGCCCGCAGCCTCCTTGAATATTAATGAGGCCCTTTGTTGTTAGAGCCTGTGTTTTCTGCCAGATATGCTCTCTTTCCTCAGCCCTCTCAACCCTGTAAAGTAACTATGATTTTAAGGACTGGGCCATGTTTAGGGATTTGGAAACTGGCTGTGCTCTCTGGTAGCAAGGGGCAAGAGGGGGTCACTCTTCATGTCACTGGGTCTGACGCCTCAAACCCCAGTGCTTGGAGCCCCTCATTGCCCCTTCCTTTGGGGGGGTGTCAGACTGGATTGCTCCCTTGCATTTGGCTGGCTGGGTTACAGGGGGCACAGTAGGGCCACACTGCACACTCTGGGCAGAACTAAAGCCCGTGTTGTCAGCATATTCACGGCGTCTTCTTCTGTATGCCCTGTTGAGATCATGGGACACCCCCTTGAGAAGTTGCTGCAGAGGGGCCAAAGGGCGGGACTGGAGCTGGTCCCATCGCCACCTAGTGGCGCCACAGGGGCTGCAGGACAGAGCTGACACCGTGGCCCTGGCTGCAGATGTCAGTGCCCATGAGGACGCTGGGTGAATGGCTGCATTTTTGGTTACAAACCTTTCTCTCTCTCTCTCTCTCTCTCTTTCTCTCTCTCTCTCTCTCTCTCCAGAGCCCATCTTTGGCAAAGGCTGGCAGTGGGGCCCCATTGAGGCACAAGGCTCCCCAGGTCAGCCACCACCTCAGAGTCTACACCCCAAGGTGCTTCCGCTGCTGTAACCTGGGCTGGGTTTTGGATCTGCAGGCTCAACCCTTCTCTGGCCTCGAAGGTCAGGGGCAGAGTGATCCTGGAAATCCCAATGGATGTTCTTACGCCTCTATATATAAAAGGCTAGTATGCTAAGTGTCCATCCAGGTAATGGCGTCACGTAGCAACGTCTAGCTTCCTCTCCCTAGCGACTGGCCTCCTTGCAGTTTCTTCAGCCAAGGAACACGACTTGCTTTATAGCCAGGTGGAAACATTTTACACTTTAACCAAATGTCTGTGAAGTGTTTTCACGTGCCTCATCTCACTTGATCCTCACAGAAGTCCTGGAGTAGATAAATAGGAGACTTGGTGGTGGAATCCTATTTTCTTTTCATCAGCCAGAAAACGGAGATTGAGAAAGCTTAGAAACTTGACCCGACTGAAAAGAAGTAAGAAATGGTGGACCTTGAAAATGACTTCACGTTTTCTCACTGTGCAAAATATAGTCAAACACTGCTGCAGTTAAATATTTTACCCTTTGTTCTCCCTGTGAGATCTACAATAATAATCTGCTTCGTGTTGATATTTACTGCTGTGTTGCTGACAATTACCTGGCAGAGAAGTTGGGGTGCTTCACTGGGCTGGGAAAGGTTTAGCTACATCAGAAAGCAGGTCTAATTAAGCAAGTTTATCTATCTATCTATCTATCTATCATCTATAAAGTGCTCGCTGGTGCCAATCGCACAGGTGTGTTTCCATCTGTCATTGTTGATCGTGAATTTGGTTGACACTTCTATTATAGAGAAAGGGTGAATAGCAATATCAAAATATTTCTTCTAATTAATTTCCTTTCAATGTGCCGGAATTTGTGCAGCGGGCCACTAGTCTATGAGTCGGATCAGACCAGCTGCAAAAGGAGAGCAGCTTTTCAGAGTATTTATAGTGGCCATACCCTGCTGTCAGTGCTATGGGACATCAGTGTTAAACCAAAAATAATCAATAAAGAAATTAAAAAAAAAATCACGCAAAAATCAAGGGGAGAATAATAAAATTATTTAATGAGTAATTGAACATTTTAATTAACTAATGTTTATATCAGGTCAGACCCCCCACCTTGTATCATGTAAATGAAAAATAAATAAATTGAATTAGAAACATCTAAAATAAAAAGAGCATACTGGCTTCTCGCACCGTGGCTGCGGCAGGAGCCCCAGGCTGCCTTTGTCTGCGGACACGGTTCAGCACATGTCCTCCCAGGCGGCACCAGCACAGAATGGCCTCCAGTGGGGCCGGGAAACAGCTGGGCATGGGTAGGGCTTTGGGTTTCATTTTGTTTTGGATTTTTCTCCTTTCTCAGGAAACATCAGTCGGGGAAGAGAGCAGGCGAAGGAAGATTCCTTCTATTGCGTCAGTAATGAGGCTTCTTTTGTTAGCAGACTTCACTTTTTCCAGCAGTTTCAGGTTTACAGAAAAATTGAGCAGAAATAGAGTCGCCAGCTAGTTCCTGCGCCCCAGTTTTCTGCTTTAGCATCTTGAGTTGGTGCATTGGGTACCATTGACGAGGCCATACTGGCGCACGATGATTAAGTAAAGTCCATAGTTTACTGAGCGTTTACTCCTGGTGTCACACATTCTGTGTGCTTTGACAAATGCAGGATGTCACATACCCACCATCCAGTGTCATGCAGAAGGGCCTCACTGCCCTAAAAAAATCCCCTGTAAGGCCCAGCCATTGTGACTCAGTGGTTGAGTATTGACCTATGAACCAGGAGGTCACAGTTCAATTCCCGGTCAGGGCACATGCCTGGATTACAGGCTCGATCCCCAGTGTGGGGCATGCAGGAAGTAGTCAATCAATGATTCTTTTTCGTCATTGATGTTTCTCTCTCTCTCACTTCCTCTCTGAAATCAATAAAAATATATTTTAAAAAAATCCCCTGTGGGAATAAAATTTTAAATCAACTTAGAGAATCAGAGCTGTAAAAATACCCTAGGAATTGGACAGCCCGATGAGCATGCAAACGACATCCCATTATCCAGGCCCTGGCTGCCAGGATGCTCCCCTCCCCCACTCCCTTCCCCGTGTGGGTGTGTCAGGGCCAGAACTTGGCTTGGAAAGGAGTAGAGAATAATCTGAGTGCACGTGTATATAATAATGCTAGTGTATATACATCCTTTTATAAAAAAGGAATGACCATGGGGATGCATGTGCTGGCCACTGAGAAGGGCCAGCTCTCCCTCCTGGATTTAGGACTTGCGGATTGGGGTGCAGGGGGCTTGTTAATTCTGGTCTACAAAGCATTTGCTGTCGACATGTTGTCACACGAGTGTCGGTGCCAGAGGCCAGCTCGGAGCTGGTGCGCCCCTAAGGGGATGGGCGGGAGGCAGCTCTCCCTCCCGGCTCTGCTCCTTCTCGCTGACACGTCTGTTGCCGAAACGTGTCCTCCCTCCCCAGGCAGGGGCTGTGTGAGCTCCGAGCCGCCGGCAGCCTTGGCCTCTGGGATCCAGAGATAATAAAGCTCTCTTGCTTTCTGGGGGTTCAAGCGAAGTGAGCGGTGGCCTGGCCAAGTCCCCGGACAAAGCGTGCTCTGAGGCCCACCCGGCAGTGGCCCGCTGGACTGGCCACTCGCCGCTCCTGGCGGCGGGCACGTCTTCCGGGAGAGCCGAGAAGCCGGGCTTGTGCTGGCCTCCGCTCTCAAACAGACCTCACAGGCGCCCGCTCCAAGCTTGAGGGTCCCCGAAGACATTTGTGTATAAAAAGGGCCCTATTGTGTCGGCCTGTGCCTGACTGATTTGCTCTAGTTCAGAATTCTCTGCCGCGTCGGGGTGTATGTGTGTGGGGGGATGAGTGGGGCCGGGGGCGGGGGGGGGGGGGCTCTGAGATGCGGGTGCTGATGGCTCCCTTTGGTGGCCACAGATGGTGGGGGCAGCGTCCATGTCATTCTCTAAAACGCCTCTTCGCCCCAGAGGCATCGATCACTCTGCCATGTCTCCTCCTTGTGCTCCCTGGCTCTGGTGTCAACGAGGTGAAGGCGTTCGGACCTGTCATTTGTTCCTAAGGACGTGCAAACGCGGCCTCGCTGGATATCTTTAGGCGGCTGCTGTGCCGCTAGCCGGTCGGCTCAAATCTGCCGTTAGGATCGCGGGGTCTTTTTGAGAACTGCTCTTGGCTGCCAAAACGGTTCTAAATATATTAAAAGTAGGTTAACTTACTGTGTTCCCTGCATTTATTCTTCCAGCTGAAATTTTCCTGACTTTTTTTTTCCCCCTTTCGTTTTATTAGGTTAATAAAACTTGGTTTTCGAGCATTTCTCTGCCCCAGGAGGGCAATGGGCCCCACGTCCAATTCATCAAGTGCCTAATGAGTGGCCTCGGAGGTCCCGGCCCATCCATTCCAGAAGCTCCCTGCCTCGTAAAGGTGAGGCCTATGGGCTGCTCTGTATATTTTGTCTGTTGGTTTCCCAAATTCTCCTGCCAGCTCTACTGTCACTTTCCAGGATTTATAGGAGGCCGACGGCACCGCGGGGCTCCTTCTGCAGCAGGCCCCCCTCCCCTGCCCGCTCCTCACACGCACCACACACTCCGTGCCATAAAATAACGTTTCTGCAATAAAATGAAATAGAAATGTGTCGATGCTAGCATTTTAGAACATTCCAGCAAAAGGGCTGTGGGAAATGCCTTCGTTTACATTAAGGAGGGAAGCTCTGTGAGAGAGGGGGGAGAACAGTGCGAGAAAAGGCCGTAGTAAGGAGAGACAGCCTGGTATTTAAAGTAAATAAATTTTAAAAAAATGTCGTGTTTGTGTGTGTGCATTGTGTGCAGTCTCTAAATTGTTTTTTCACATATGCGTATACCTCTCCTGGTTAATTTTTGGTGTTTTGGAGAAAGACCAGGGAAAGAAAAAGTGGATGTCACTTGCCTTCTGGGCCCAGGGTCTGGGCGCTCTCGCCTTCTAGAACGTTCTTCCTTTTCCTCCCCTGCAGGCTCTCTGGCCTTGGCCCAGGTGTCAGGATCCTGCCAGCTCCAGGCTGGGGGCTGTGTCTGCCCCGACGTAGTTGGAAAACTGGAATCTGAGCAACCGTGAGCTCCAGGTACACACGCTAGCGGGCGGCCGGGAAAGGAAGGGACCTCGACGGGAGCTTGTGGGGTGGGGCGGCTGCTGGGTTGTGGGGTGCCAGAGGCCTCCCAAATTTCCACACAGCAGCCCAGCCTTGCCAGCATTTGCAACGAGTGTCCTGGCTCCTCTTCTCTGCTCTGAGCCTCCAGAAAGCGCCTGGCCTTTAATTAACTGCACTCTCCCGGGGCATGCGCCGTCGCTAATAAATTACTCTATATGACCTGTAACTTTTTCTTCCCTTCCTCCCAGCCGCCGGCCTGGAGCTGGGGAGGGAAGGGGCAGGGAGGGGAGGTTTTGCTTGCTCTGCGAGCGGGAAAAGGGAAACGCTGAAGCTGTCCCAGGCCGTTCTCTGCCATGCACTCTGTGTCTTATCAGCCCGTGGCCCCAGAGCCGGGTGACAGACCCGTCCAAACAATTGGCTGGGACTTGGGGGACCTCTTTTAACACCTGGGACGTTGTCCCGGGGCTGGGGGCAGTGGCGAGGATGCTGTGGATCACAGGGTTCTGGAAGGTCTCTGAGGTGCAGGGGTGTGTTCATGGCCACTCATCATGGGGGCGGGGGTAAGAGGACAGAGCCCAGGCAGCACCTCTGCTCTCCAACGCGGGGAGACACAGTGTAAACTGCACCTCACACAGGAGGGACCTCCAAGTGTCCACCTGCCCCAGAGCTGGCGCCCAGCTTCCTGCGCCCTCCGACGTGCCTCCTGGGCCGGGATTTCACGGCCATGTGTCCGTGGCTGAGCGTCCACACAGGGAGGCCATGCCCCTGAAGACCCTCAGCCAGGACTGGCCTTTCTCACGTTGTCTCCATTTCCTCTCTGGGCGCTGGGGCTCGGCTCCTGCGCTGAACTCCTCACCGAGAGGCCCCCCTGCTCCCCGCGCGCCCCTCTTACCAGCACTCATCATGCATTAGTTTATCTTCTGAAAATATACTTGGAAGGGTTTTTGTTTTGTTTTGTTTCCCTACTTGACACTCTTGAATAAAATAGGCCATTTATCTCTCAGGCAGAAGAATTTCGGCAGTTACGCTGCACCCTGGCAAGAGGATTGTAGGCTCAATGCGAAGAGGTAGTTAAAATTTTTTTTCGTCGCGGGTTTATTCTTGTCTCAGCTTTCCCCCCAAGCTTTGCAGCTTTTCGCCCCTCTCCCTAACTAATCCTCCCAACTGCACACCCCTCCCCCCCCCCCCCCCCCATGGATCCAGCCCACCTCCAGCTCCTCAGACTGAAAGGAGCATTCATGCCTGGGCCATCTGTTTGTTTAAACTCACCCTGTGTTAGTCCATGTTAAATGCAACAGAATGGAGAAAAATGCAATTCTCTGTCGGCTTTTGATCAAAGAGAACTTTTAAAAAAATTCGAGGTGGATTTCTGAAGGACAATGTTATACACATTCCGTGTGTTTCTGAGCTTCAGTGTTTAGTTGATTTGGGGGGAACAATCTTTTCCCCCCCTTTTGATCCCAGGGAGAAAAACTCGCACAAAAACACATCTCGGCACCACAAACATCGCAAGACGGGCGCTTTCTTTCCGACTCCCCAGCAGCAAAGTGGAAGGACATTGCCTTTTAATTCATCAACAACACGAGGGAATTTGAAATATGGCTCGACTGCCGCGTGCAGACTTTTGCTTGCTCCTGTGAGAATTCCAGGGGCAGTCACTCGCGTCTGGGGCTAATTCAGGACCCAGGATGCTCACCCCATTGCTCCGAAACACACACACGTCCATGCTCACTTCATCGATCTCCATTTCACGGCCACTCATTGCGTGTACATTTCTCCCCTCACTCCCTCAGCTTCGGAGCAAATGCAAATAAAACGCTTAAAATGGTTAACATTTCCTGTCACTGAAGGCATGCATTAGGGGTGGGGGTCGCTGAGTTTTAAAGTGGATTTTCATAGGAAAACTCACTTCAGATCTGCGGCAGGAACTCGGATGGGTTCGCACAGAGAATTTCGGGGTTTGCGATAAGCCTAAATTTATTGCCGTCATTCAAGTGATCCTTGACAGCACGCGGATGCCGAAGAGCAAATATCCAATTTGAACTTAGATTAACCTGGGGCCCAGCTCAGGTCACGGGAAAAAAAAAAATTGAAATGTCTTCTTGCCCCCCACCCACCTTGACTCATTTTCTTTTTATTGGAGGGGAAAAAAAATCCCAACCTAAAATATGGTCTTTTAATTTATTGTGTTTTCTCTATTGATTGTTTAGCTAGTGATTTTGCCAACTTCCTGGATGTTCGTTCCTGGTCCTGCACCAAACAGCCACATTTCCTTTTGGAACCGGGACCAGGACAGAGGCGGCGGCAGACACGGGACGTTGTGAGTACTCCGTGGTCCTCTCCCGCGTCGCCCTGACCCCGTGGCCCCTCCGGTCCCTTCCTGCCTCCCTCTCTTTATCTACCAGTTAACGTTCCCGGAGCTCGGAGCTCGCCCGAACTCACGCTGCCAGCCCTCAGCACCACAGCCTCCACTTTGAGGGAAAGAGACTACAACTTCCACACAAACATCGGCTGGGGGGGTGTGTGTGCTTACCAATTGCAGTGCCTTCAATGTTCATTTTAAGGTTCCGAAAGATGGAGAAAGTAAACAGAAGCAGGCTGGTTTATTTCAGGGGCTAGCAGTGAGTCCCTACTGGCTTTACCTAATAAAACACATTTTAAAAATTTTCATCTTCTCATTTCGTTCCAGCAGAAAATTAGTTTGCCTTTATAATGTCCAGATCTTTCAAACTCGAGTGAGTCAGAAATTAAGTTACAAGATGTAAATACTTTGAGATCTATATGAAACGAATATATCTATGTGAAATGAAGTAATTTCTGACTGTCATGCAATAGCCAGCCTGACTTTAGGCTCTTAGGACTCTTACAATCTTGTTCTAATGATGTGCCATAAGAAAATATCAGATGGAGTAAAAATGTTTCTTTTAAAAACAAGTGAATCGCGATATTTAATAAATTTAATTTTTATTTCACGTAAGTTGTCTATTTTTAAAAAAATCCTCTGAACATCTTGCCAACTGTTTGGACGATTGTAAAGAAAACATATGTTAATATTCCGGGCCGTATTTGACTTCTTTCTTTTCCATGAAACCATTCCAAGGAGTATGGGAAATTGTAAAACGATGTCGTTCTCTCGTGAAAAGAATACCCTGGCTCTAATTGCCAAGAGAAAGCAATTAATGCTCAAATTTCAAGGCGAATTCGGTGACCAGTTAGGGGCAGGAAGAAAGAGGAAAGCAAGACGGTTATTTGCGTGAGAAAATCCAGAAATCAACGTTTGTAATTGTAGATGTATAATCGGGATGTGATTATATTTATAAGGAAAAGTTACATAAACTTCAAAAATGGTAGTTGTTTTGCTTAAGTGCCTGAAAAAAATTTAAAATAATATTTGGGTTATCCCAGTTTTGTACTCGTATGTTCACAAAGCCTTGTTAGGTTAAAGAACTCCAAAGGACTGGTGTGTGTGTGTGTGTGTGTGTGTGTGTGTGTGTGCACTTTCCTTAAGCTCCCAGCCCCAGGAAATGCGTGGAGAAAAAGGTAGGAGCTGACTAGTGAAAAAACCCTTTTCTCCAGAAATTCATAACTAATCTAAAACTTTTAGAAATTAAAAATAGCGCATTTCTTACTTTTTTTTTTCCTTTTCAGGGGTTGTTGAAGGGGGTGATGGGCTAGAGCCAGTTTTCAAAATTGTACAGACCAGAGGTGTACAAAAGGCTATTGCCATTTTCCTTCGCTTTTGATTAGAGTATTTAGTTTCTGTTCTCCTGTCTCTGAAACTATGGCATTCTACACCTTAAATATATTTTTTAAGCTTTCTGATTTGGATTGCCGAAAACAGAAACCTTTGCCTTCTTAGGGAAGCTGAGCTGCTATCCAGTAGATGGCGATGTTACTTCTAGAGTGATCAAGGGGTGGGGGGTGGGAAAATAGGTACTGAGATTTAGCCCCAATCCAGTCAGGTCTCCCCTTTGCCTCCCCGGGAACTCATCCAGTAAGCTCTAAATGTAAGAAGAAAACCTTTTTTTGAGACGCTGCCCAAAATGTGCAAACTCTCCAAGAGTATTTAAAGTATTTAAGCCAAATGTTAATGACCAAAATGTCTCACCCTCCTGAAATGGTCTGATACAGCGCCCAGCTAGAGTTCAAAGAAATAATTCCTGGAAATGTTCAATAGAAAAGCTGTTTCAATATTTTATCAGTTGCCTGTCTATTTTTTAAGAAATAAAAGCTATCCGTACAGTTCTCCTATAATAATGGTGAAGAATGTACATTATAGTATTGCATGGAACTTTATATGCATACAAATGGCCAAGTGAAATCAGGCATGTACAGATAGTGACATCAGAATCTCACCTTCTCAAAGAGTGTTTTCTTTCAATGTGATGAATATGTGTGAGAAATCCACACTGGACATTGTATTTCATTGTATCAGCACCTGCTAAAACAGTGTCGCCAGCTACTTAGAACTTTGAAACCTCATCTCCCAAAGTTTCTACTTTATTTCCCAAACCCCCCACATTTTTCTATCCCTATCTCTTGCAAAAGAGAATCCCAAAGAATGTTGAGGACTTTCTTCAATATATTTAATATTGAAATTAAAATTATTTAACACATTTTTTGATGATTTTATTTATTTATTTTTTCTTTTTTGATGATTTTAATGTTTTGACTCTTCATGGAACATGATTCCATAATTTGTAATAATTTGCCATGTTGCTTTTTAATTTAAAAAGAAAGAGCACATGTTGACAACTATTTTTTTAAAGAACTAATTCAACAAGAGCAAGTAAAGATATTTCTTTTCCTAAAAACGATATTATCATTTGTCCTTGAAAAAAAAAAAAAGATGGAAGAGGGATCCATTAGATTCCAAATGTGAAATACGATTTAAAGACATGGAAATCTGTGAATGTAGCAGAGTACAGTGACTGAATCATGTATGGCGGTAATTAGTCCTGTATTGTTCTTTAAAAATTAAATTGAAAGACATGCTAGCTAGTATACCTCTATGTATTTACAAACTCTGCAAGTCACCCCCTGTTCACAACTCAAATCAATGTATTAATAAAATGATTGTGCGGAAAAAAAGCAGCTGTTTAAATAAATTCTGTTCTGCTTTAAAGATTTGTCTTCTGGGGGGAAAGTCTTTTAAAAATTGAGTGGCAGTGACCAGTGAACAATAGTTAAAATGAAAATAAATCTTCCTGAGACTCAGTTCTAATTTTCTTGAGCAAGATACTAACCCATAGAAAATAAACATTGTTTATTGAACCACGCGTGTACCAAGCGAACCTCTGTAAAATAAGATGGAGAAAATATGAACTTGTATGTCCCGAGTATTTTGGTTCCCTGCAGAACAGAGAGGTATGTGCTGGGTAGGAAATGAACAAGATAAAATGAGCAATTCTGGAGGGAGATCATTCAGATTTGTGCAGTTCCAGGGAGGGGAACACATTAGAACGAAAACAAAAAATGTTGTGTCACTTGGCACCTTGGCTTAAGGGATAATTTAATTACATCGTCTATTAATGTTGACTTACGTTTCTGCTCTTGCCAACCTTCTTACAATCTTGTTTATTTCCAGCAATCACGTTGGTGACAGCTCTAATAGGCCATTCAACAGCGAACGTTTTCTCATTTAGTTGAAAATATTTCAGGTTTCAGAAACCCAGCAAGGAAAAGCACCTTCAGGCTTCATGTATATGAGTAAACTAGAACGGGGAAAGATTGTTTAACAAAATGAATTCTATCAGCCTATTTAACCAATTTCAGGTTAAAATATTTTTATGTGTCACTTAGCCAAGCAGGCTGGTAGGACCTTAGCTGACGCAAAGATTATTCCGTCTTCTGGGCTGTGTGTGTGTGTGTGTGTGTGTGTGTGTGGAAAGGGGCCCCGCACCGTCTCTGCATACGGGTTTACAGAAACAGCAGGGAGGCCTGCGCAGCCAGCACGTCAGGAGCACATCGCTGGCTCGGAGTGGTGGCGTGCTATTGCGGATTCTGGGTTCTGTATTTGTAAACTTTCCACTTTCTGTTTTTTGAGAAAGTCACATTTGATCTCTGCCAGCGAAGGTGGGGAGGCAGAGTTGCTTCCCTCTTAACAGCTGAATGCAATCAGGGTGCTTATTTTCTGTTGTGTTTTAGTTAAAAGGTACAAGAGGAGAGAAAAATACACCCAAACAAATCAGAAGACACATTTAGCATCCAGTCTTCAACCCTAAACAGGCTGTGCTGTCCGTGGAGGGAGAAAGCCTGTGGGATACCATGCATTTACCTCCTCCGCCCCCGCCCCCCAAAGTTCTCCGGGAAGGAGCTGGGGACCCGTGGGGATCCCTTTAAAGCAGTGGTTCTCAACCTGTGGGTCGAGACCCCTTTGGAGGGCGAATGACCCTTTCACAGGGGTCGCCTAAGACCATCGGAAACCACATATATAATTACATATTGTTTTTGTGATTAATCACTATGCTTTAACTATATTCAATTTGTAACAATGAAAATACAGCCTGCATATCAGATATTTACATGACGATTCATAACAGTAGAAAAATTACACTTATGAAGTAGCAATGAAAATAATTTTATGGTTGGGGGTCACCACAACATGAGGAACTGTATTAAAGGGTTGCGGCATTAGGAAGGTTGAGAACCACTGCTTTAAAGGGTCAGCTAGCGTGGTTAAGCTGCGTGTCAGGAGAAAGAAGGCTGAGATCCTTTGTGCAAACAAGTGCCAGGAGCCCAAATCCCTGCCTGTCTCTCAGAAACAAGCTTGCAGCGTCTTCTGAGCTGTTTGGAGAAACACCTTTCGATGGCCCGGCCGTGGCTGCAGCCGAGGGAAGGTGTCCAGGCGGGAGCAGTGCGAGGGCCCTGGGCATGCCGTGGACCCTGCGGCGAGGCGTGGCCGTGAGGGAGGCAGCGCTTTCCCGCCCGGGAGCAGCGCAGGTCAGGGAGCAGGAGCCGTCACAGTTCCCAGGGCCCTTGCGGATGGGGCCACAGATCCATCGGGGCAGGGGCTCCAACAGCAGCGCCACATGGCCATTGGGCGATGCAGCTCGCCCTGCTGTCCCCGAGCACCCGCTCTCTGGGAACAGTCATCTCGGACACGGCCTGTTTTTTTAATCCTCACCTGAGGATATGTTGTTATTGATTTTAGAGAGTGAAGAAAGGGTGCAGGGGAGAGAGAGAGAGAGAGAGAGAGAGAGAGAGAGAGAGAGAGAGAGAGAGAAAGAAATGGGCTACCTCCTGCATGGGTTACCTCCTGCTTGTGCCCTGACTGGGGATTGAATTCCAGGTCATTTGCTGTATAGGACGATGCTCCATTACAGGGCAGACACTCGGTCATTCAATAAATTCCTTAGTCTTCCCTGCCTAGAGTCTCAGCGTCAGGCTTGTCGCATACTTACGACAGGTGGTATTTATCCAGAGTCTGCAGCGTGCCAGGCATCACATGGGACAGCAGGAGGGCGCCTCCCAACGAGTCGCTGGGGTAGGGGATGCCAGAGTCCTTATTTGACAATTGAGGACACTGAGTCCCCGGAGGCCTAGGGGAGCCCCAAGGGGCACCCCTGGCGTGGAGGGGTGGGGAGGTCTGGGATTGGAATCCAGACCAGTGGGTCACAGGCCCCGCATTCTTCACCAGGGCCTCCGTGCTTCGCTAAGTCAATGTC